TAGTCTACCTATTTTTAAAATGATGTTATGGGTTTGCTAAATTAATTTTACCACCCACTAATGGGCTGACCTGATCTAAACACTAATCTACATCATGTATCACAGATAATTAAAAACCTTGTTAACATATACAACCGAGGTGCTAATTGCTCAATTCTATAGTGGGTACAGAAGAAGAAAAGACAGTTGAATATGGACAGAAACTACCTAGAAAGTTTTCAAATTAGAAAGAAGAATTAAGCCTTGAATATATGGGTAAAATATGGTGTGATAAAAAAGTAAATGGTTGAGAAGTTTAAACTGGGGGAAAAACCCTCAGATGTAAATGTAAAAAAATTCCTTTTTCTTTAAAAATAAAATCTAACCTTTTAGCATTATTTTTAAAATATATAAGAACACCATTTTGTATAATAAAAGTCTCAATAATTTCAAAGATTAGAACAAATTTTAATGTTTTGCCTACAGAAAATATACAGAATTCTGAAAAATTAAATACAGCTTCCAAAGAATGAAAATATACAAAATTGATTTGAACAGAACTTGATACAATATTTGTTTTATACCCTTGTTATAAATTCAAAAGGGGTCAAATAGTCTAAGAGCAAAATGATAGCAGCCTGAAAACAAGTGGCTGTATATTCCCCCACCCCCAGTTTTTCTGTGCTTCTCTTATATTCAAAGATTAATGCAAAAACAAAATTTTGGAATCCCCTCCTTGCTGACCTCTGTACACATTACAAAAAAAAAAAAAAAAAAAAATCCTAGGATATAATGAGGTATACAGCACAAAACTGGCTGCCTGAACTCCTCAGTGGCTCCCCTGCATTCACCCTCAGAATTTCTCTCTCCTCCTGGCAAAAAGTAAGCAAACACACACAAATCTAGAAATCTATTTTGTACGTGTATGTAAAATGTGCACACCACAGTGCAAATATGTGATCATAGTTTTTAAATGTGAACGCTTGTCAGTTAGGACATGTCACTGTAATCGTTAGGTGAAACTTCAATCCCTTTGATGAAGATACCATCTTTGAGCCAAGCCCTGACAGAAAACCTTTGGTTCCTGTTAGACCCCTCCCTTCCCAGTCAGCTGCTGGGCTCCATCCGGAGGGATGGAGGCTCTCTCTCTCCAACACAGCTAAGCGTTCCCAGACCCAGGAGAAACCCTGGATTCCTGCAGAGCACTCGACGTGCAGCAAAGTGTCCCAGCTCTGCAAAGGGCAGCTGGAAATGGATTTAAAATGGCAACGCGGACCAATCAGCGCTGCCGCGCCAAAGCAGACATTTACACGCGCCTCCTCCACATGCACAGGGGAACCTGGCGGTGCCTAACTCCTGCTTAGGGCTGCAGAGTAGGCGTTTTTATTCCACGGTGGTCTGTATCTTTGAAAAAAATAAATTCTTCCCCAGGTGAAAGTTTTTATTTTGGAATTAGTCCAAAATAATTTTGGGTGTGATGTGTGAAAATCTGAACCTAATTTTTTCAGAGTTTTGTGTTATTCAAGGATGAAAAGAGGTACATTTAAAAATGTACTCCACCTTTTAAAAACGGACTGTGGCCATTATGGTGTTCACATAACTCAGAAACAGCCCAGGCTATAAAATTAGGACTTGGCAGAAAGAGTTCTCAGGCAGAAGGTTAAATCGAGGTAAACTGAAGGGAGAGTTGGGCAGTGAGTGCAATTGTGGCGTTAGGAATCTACAAGGTGCCCTTTACTCTGCGAATGTCGGATCCCCGGGGAGGGGGATGGGGAGGGAACTTTGATTGCCTCTAGTCTTTCCTGGAGAAAAAAGTTCAATGAAGAAGCTGGCGCGCTGTGTGTGTGCACATTGCTTGCACGTGTCTGCGAATGTGCATGTCTATCTGCGTGCCTGTGTGTATGTGTGTGTGCGTAAATGCGTGTGTTTACGAGCGCATGAGTGCCCCGTTTCCACGTGTATCTGCGTGCAAGTGTGCATGTGCTTACACGCGTGTTCGTGTGTATCTGCATGCATGTCTCCGTGTATGTGCGCGCTCGCCCGCCCGCAGTCTCTGCGGTGAGGGCATTCTGCGGCGGAGTAGGGCTGTCAGGGCCCCTCTCCCACTCCTCTGCAGTCCCTTCCCGCTCACAGTGAACCGGAGCGCTGCCTGGGGTGCAGCCTAGACGCTTCCTGCAAAGTGTTGGCTCGGGACCGTAGAGGCGCAGGTAAAGGCCGAGCCCCAAAACGTGGCTCGGGGACAGTCACGTTCCCGCGCCTTCCCAGGACAACCGCCCAGGGGTGACCTCGAGAGGCGGGTGGGGCTAGGCCCACGGCGAGCCAGTCCGGGATCCCCGGCCTGTCCCTTTAACCCCGCCGCCGGGCGGGAGCACGTGAGCGGGGCTCCGGGTGGCACCCGGGCGCCGCCGCCGCCGAGGCAGTTGTATTTCGAACGCTGCCTCTGGCTAGCAGCCAGGCGCCTTGGCTCGGCGGTCCGCCTGGCCTCCCTCCTCCTCATACTTTTCTTCCTGCGCAACCCCCTCCTCTTTATCCGCCCACGATTAGAGGTGGGCACTCCCCCCCTTCCACCACCCCCTCCCCAAGCGCAAGCGCGCGCAGCACACACACCACACACACTCACACTCACACACACTCACACACACTCATCCCACTTGAATCTTGGGGCAGGAATTCAGAAAACTTCCAGCCCGGGCAGCGCGCGCTTGGTGCAAGACTCAGGAGCGAGCAGCCCGTCCCCCTCCGACTCTCCGGTGCCGCCGCCGCCTGCTCCCGCCACCCGAGGAGGCGCGGTGCCACCCACTGCTCTGTCCTCTGCTTGTGCTCCGTGCCCGACCCTATCCCGGCGGAATCTCCCCATCCTCCTTTGCTTTCCGACTGCCCAAGGCACTTTCAATCTCAATCTCTTTCTCTCTCTCTCTCTCACTTTCTCTCTCTCTCTCTCGAGCGGGGTGGGGGGAAGAGGAGGAGGAATTCTTTCCCCGCCTAACATTTCAAGGGACACAATTCACTCCAAGTCTCTTCCCTTTCCAAGCCGCTTCCGAAGTGCTCCCGGTGCCCGCAACTCCTGATCCCAACCCGCGAGAGGAGCCTCTGCGACCTCAAAACCTCTCTTCCTTCTCCCTCGCTTCCCTCCTCCTCTCGCTACCTCCACCTCCACCGCCACCTCCACCTCCGGCACCCACCCACCGCCGCCGCCGCCGCCGCCGCCACCGGCAGCGCCTCCTCTTCTCCTCCTCCTCCTCCCCTCTTCTCTTTTTGGCAGCCGCTGGACGTCCGGTGTTGATGGTGGCAGCGGCGGCAGCCTAAGCAACAGCAGCCCTTGCAGCCCGCCAGCTAGCGCTCGCCCCGCCGGCGTCCCCAGCTCTATCACCTCATCTCCCGAAAGGTGCTGGGCAGCTCCGGGGCAGTCGAGGCGAAGCGGCTGCAGCGGCGGTAGCGGCGGCGGGAGGCAGGATGAGCGCACGCGGTGAGGGCGCGGGGCAGCCGTCCACTTCAGCCCAGGGACAACCTGCCGCCCCGGCGCCTCAGAAGAGAGGACGCGGCCGCCCCAGGAAGCAGCAGCAAGTCAGTACGCTGGCGCGGTGGGGGCACCAGCCCACCCCGTCCCCACTGCAGGGGCCCAGACACGCGCGGGGCGGCCGGAGCGCGGGAGCCCAGTCGCCGCGGCCGTCGCACGCTGCCCGCCCGCCGGCTGGGGGGAGCGGCGCAGACCCCACGAGTGTGCCGAGCGGCCCCGGGGCGCCAGCAACCCTCTGGGCGGGGAGGTGGGGAGCTACGGCGGGCGGCCCGGGGAAGGCTGGAGGTGGGGTCGGGCGAAGCACGTCCTCGGACTTTCGCTATTGTGCACCGCCCCGAGTGGCGCGGTGTCGCCGGGTGACTGGAAGCGACCGGGATCCGACAAACCCGGGCTCGCAGGCGCTCTCCGAGCTGCTTTTGCAACTGCCCGGGAGGAAGGAGGTGCCGGGGACTCGGGCGCTCCGGCCGATCTGGGCTGAAGGGGTTAGAGTCCTGGGGGCCGGAGGCTCTTTCTCCCGCCTCCCGGGGCTGCTCGCGGGTCGGGGGCTGGCGCGCCGCAGCCGCCCCCTTGGCGCCCTCCTCCAAGCTCTCGGTGGCCCAAGACTCGCGCCCTCCCGACAAAGAACGCATGGAGAGCCGGCTGCCTGGTCCTCTTCGGGCTCTTTAAATGTGCGGCGGCCGCCGGAGGGAGCCCGGGGCAGGGGCTACGGGGAGCCTGGCTCCCCGCGGGACGGGGTTAACTCGCCCAGCCAAGGGCGCGTTGAAAGGAGTGTCCGAGAGAGTGCAGGGTAGCCAGGGGCGCTTCCTCGTCAGGCGCCCGGTCCCCCTTTTGCCCCTGGATCCCGCGCCTCAGAGCTGCAGCCATTAAATACTCTTCTCCAAGGCCAGTGGCCGGGGGTTGAGTAGGGGACGATCGAGGGGCGCCCGGGACCCAGCGGAGTGGAGGGTTTTGTCTGCGGATGCAACCAATTAAGCGTGCAGCCGGCGCTTGCAGAGCTGCGCTCTGCGCGCAGGGCTGGGGGTTTTGTTTGCTGTAATTTCCAAGCCGCGGCGGGCAGGGTCGGAGCGGGATAAGTCTATTGAGAACATTTAAACTCCACTTTCTCGGGCTTTAACACTTGCTCGCTCCTTAGTCTTAAATCGCTTCCTTCATGGCAAACACGCCGATTTGAAAATAATCCTAGAGTCCCAAAGTTGCCTGAGAGCAAGGTGGGGAAATTGAACAATGTTTGCTTGCCAGAGAATTTTAGAAAAATTGAGAGTTTACCTTTTCAAAATCATCAAAGGAAACAAGCCTATCTAGAGGCCCCTGAGTTTTCCCGCTCTGCCCAAGCGACACTTTACATCGCATTTGAATCCTGTTTTACACCTCCCAGGAAGTCTCTGCCCTCCCCCACTTGTTTCCCACCCGCCACCCAGCTCCAACTGACTAATTGCACCCCCCTCCAAAAAAAAAAAATCCAAAAGAAATTACAATGGGGTCTGGAGGTGATTGGATACTTTACCTTTGAGTTAAGGCAGAGTTCACAAAGAAAGAAAAATGTGTCTCCGATGTGTTTGCTCTCGATGTGCCCACTGGCGCTAGTGGTCCCACAGAAGCTTGCAGGGAACCTTCCCCGAATTCTCTAAATGGGATGCGAATTTTCATTGAGGACGTTCATGGGTTTTAAGTTAATTAGTCTCACTTAATCACCGAATCTGAATGAAATGTGAATAGATGATTCACTGGATAAATATTTGGGATCTGGAATATTAATCATCGCATTCTCTTAACCACTTGAGTATTTACTACTTGGCATAGGAGCCATTTAAAGTTTTGCTAAACCTAGTGATTGCTTCCATTTCTCATTCCCAGACACTCCATTCCTCCTCGCTTTTACCCCCTTTTAGTTTTCTCCACTCCATCCCCATAAGAGTTTTCTTAAAAGAAAGTTTTGAAGAAAATATGTTTATTTTTATCAAAAGATATTTAAATGTAGACTGGAGACCATGCCTGCATCTCCAAAAGGAAGTGGAGAATTGAAGCAATTAACTAGATAATTCAAGCAAAACCTCCCACAATAGATTTACTATAATTATTTGGAAATTTTATGGGGAATGGAGTTATTTTGAACTGAAGAACTTGAATAATTCCTCCAGTATTTCACTCAGAATGTGTCAGTTGAATCATAATCCACCTAGAAGGCAGGTATACAAAGATTATTAAAAGCCACCTTTTCAGTATGGAAGATTGTTGAAATATCTATGATGTTAGCTTCATATTTCTATTGTTTGAAATGCTAGTATAATGGAGAGTGGTGTTCGTTTAAAATGCTTATTATTCCTATGGGTCGCCAAATGCATAGCCCTGTAAACTTTACGCCTTAAAAGTATATGACTTTCTTTCTAGAACATGCCTCTTCAGTCTTTGTTACCATTTTAGGTTTGAAGTAGAATCTAGTTTTCATATACAAAATAAGGTTTCCTCTTTGAACCCTTGGATTAAAAGTATAGTTATTTCCCCTTTCTGTAAACTCTGTACCATCATCATCCATTTATGCTTGAACTGAAAGTGTTCCAACAGCTCTTTTGAGCAGCACATGCAGAAAATATAGCTAAAGAGTCGGGGTCAATTTCTTTCAGACATTCTTGCCACAACAGCATTTTTTTTTTCCCCTCACAATTAGGAACCAACCGGTGAGCCCTCTCCTAAGAGACCCAGGGGAAGACCTAAAGGCAGCAAAAACAAGAGTCCCTCTAAAGCAGCTCAAAAGGTGAGATTTCTCGAGTCAAGCTCTCCTAACTTCATCAATGACTACAGGAGCCTCCCTGTAATTTTCCTATTCTAACTCCGCACCTAGGAATTTGTCCCAACTGGGTAACACAGACTCAATTCTTACATTTAACATTAATTAGATGCGAGTTAACCTTTTTTCTAAGCAGATGCTCAGCATAAAAAGTTTATGAAGATACTTAACAGTGTTGTTTTTAAACAAACAGCCACCAAATAATTTGAACCTTAAAACGGGTAGAAGTGAGGAAGGCAGGCAGGGGGTAGGAGAAGGTGGAAAATGACACAACTAATATTTGCACTAGTTGTAAGTAGTTAAAAACAAATCAAAACTATAGATTTTGCCTGGTGGTAAAGTTTTTGCAATTTCTTCTGAAAAATGATAGAGATTGATTTACTTTGTGCTTATTTCATGGCTACTGCAAACCAAATCCCCCTATTAAAGTACTTTGCCAAATAGATGATAATTAGAAGTAAATCTAGTTGTGGGATAGTGGAAAGATTTCATGAATTTTACAGCTTTAATTGTGATAATAAAGTATACTGCTTGTTTTACAATAAACCTGCAGTATAGTATATCATAATCTCAAAAAGCCTTTTCATCAAGTGACATAGAAATGTCTGAATTGGACAATGAGACTTTTTAAAACAAATATTTGGCTCATTAATATCTCTTTTTGGGCAAAATAGAACCCAGTTAAGTGTAACATTCAGTGTTTTTCTTAATAAATTTAAAGTTGCAGTTTAAGATAACTTCAGGCTGGCTATATTTAAGATTGCAAAGAGGAACTATGTCAGGGTTAATGCATGTATAGAGAAGTACCAGTCGCTTTTTTGACTTTATAAATAAATTGGAAAAAAAAGTTTCTGCATTTTATTTGTAGGTTTGTATAGTAATTGAGAACAAAGTTTCAAAAATCAGAACTAAATTTGGATATACCTTTTCAACGGGTTTAAATACATGTACAGTATTTATTAGAAAGGGCTATATGCTCATCGTTTGGGGATTAATGTTTTGTGTGGTTTTCTTTGTGACTGTGGGTACTAACTGTAATATATGTGCTAGTTTTCAGTGTTGTAAACTGCCACAGCAACTAATGGTACATATAAAGTTATTTAGGAAGTAACTATGAGTTCTTGTCTGTTTTAACAGTTTTGAACAAAGTTGAGGAGCATATTTTTAATATATTTAAATTTAATTGCTTCTTAGAGTTTAGATTTGATTGTGTTTCTTATTTAATCAATAAACTTTAAAATAGCTCTAAGTAACCTTGTTATTTAAAAATGGCAATATGTACTCTGGTATTTTTAATATGAATACTTTATATTTGTTTTATTTTACCTCATTTATAAATTAACTAAAAAGGACTGATTTTACCAAGGAGTTTTTCTATGTTGCGTAAGTGTGGAGTTTACCTAATTTACTTTTATTCTAAGGAGATGCACAAATAAATACTTGTTAGATAGCTAACACGCATTTAAGCTATGGTGTAGTTCCTCTGAAAAATGCAGCATGATAGTATCTCCTAGGAAGAAATCTTTAAATTTCACCATAAATAAGTAATTTGAAATTTAATACTAAAAAGGAAAATGAATTGTCTCCCATATTTTACTATATTCCATGTTTTTTGGATGAATAGATAGAAATGCTCCCATTGCCTCCTCTTCATTTTAAAAAGCTTACCACTGACTAACAAAATTTGTATTGAGAAAAGGGAAGCTGAAACTAGTGCCTAGTTTACCACCTAAAGCAAAATTTTTAAAGTTGATCTATTCCTAAGTAAGGGTTGATTTATTTTTAGTGACTCTAGTGACAGGCGTTTGTAAATGAGCCCCCTAAGCCACTCATCTTTCTGAAAATTCTTCATATGTATGCATACATTATTCCAATTTCCAAAACAGAAGTAGGCTTTCTTTTTTCTAAAGATTCCTTCTCCAGAATCTTTCATTCTTTCAGACACAATTATTTCCAACAATGCTGTTATAAAAATCCCTCTTGTAATAAAAATGAATAAATACATTTGCCCATAACCTGACTTATTTTTCTTCAGTTTTATAAATTACGCTTCATCTGGAGAAGAGAATACCTTGCAAAATAATGAATGACATTGATGAATCGTTCATGGCATGTGTAAACTTAAGGTGTTTTCACTTTCAAATCAGAATTTGTTGAGTATGTTACTATTCTATATAAACATGATTTTCAAACATATTTGTTTATTAAGCATATATTGTGTTCTAACAAAACATGTATGTTCATCAGGATTTTGAAATGCAAATCTTTTTAGAAAAAATTATATTGTTCATAACATGTAAGATAAACATACCCTGTGAGACTGACCAGAGTAGATATGAGAAGTCTTCTATGAGTAACAAAGTGGGTGTTTTCCTGTAAACTGAGACCCATCACAGTGCAACATACATTGCAAAGACTGGTAAGTATATGAGAAGAAAGAAGCCTAAAATTAGAGGAGTTGCAGTGCACACTGAAATCCTGATGGTTATATGCTTAAAATGTCTTGCTGCTTGGAGTTTCTTGACTTACAAAGTTTATATTTGGATTCAGTAACTGGCCTTGGGACATTTGAAAACAAAGCTGTTTATTAGAAAATTAACAGTGTGAAACTGGACAATGCATGCAGAATGTTGCAAGACCAAGTGAATGACTACTAAATTAGCCATCACTTTAATTTCAAACCATATTCAGTAGAAAATTGATTTATATAATATGTAAAACAAAGACATTTATAAAAACACAATTTGCTATGCTTGGAACTTTTGGAAGAGAATTATTCTTCAATCTACTTAATATTCCATTAAAACGAACTACTATGCATGACCATTGTGTGATGATTCTAGTCATTCCTCAGAACTCCAATCTGAGTGCTCAAAATTTGTCCCTGAATCGGTTTCATATAGTTACCTGAATAAAAGAAAAGAAATCAGAAGTTAAAGTTTTCCTGAATAATTAATTTGTCCATGTGTGTATATGTCTGTGTGAGCATATCTTTACCCTTTTATTTTTAGTCTGAGATATACCTAAGACCAGTTATGTCTTAACCTCCTTTTTTGTTTTGTTTTGCTTTGCTTTGCTTTCCTAGGTTGTGCTGGATGGAACTCTTTGCATTTTTACAGTTCCCAAATGGTTAGAGAGAAAAGTTATAATCTCCTTTAGTTTAGGGTTTTGTTGTACTTTTTTAATCATGACAGAATACTGGAGGGGTTGTCACTAATTCTTCAGTGTTGAAGGTCTCAAGTCAAATTCATCCTTAAGTTTTAAGCCAATTCTCATTCACATATTTTAGGAAGTTTTTTTTCTGAGGTTGAATTAAATTTTATTGGAAGGTAAATGAAAATTTAAAAAAAAAAGATCTCAGGTGTGAGATAACCCTACTTCATCATGACATATATTTGCTTCACCACCCTTGTGACTTTAGGTGTAATGGGCAGATCTAGGGAGCAAAGTGCAGAATGAAAATATCTAGATAGAGCAGCTATAGTTAAAATAACATGTTCAGAGTAAATGTTTAGTCTCTATGTTCAATTTGCTATAAAAAGAAGGCCTGAATTAATTAGATACTGTAAAGACTACTTCATGCTCCTTCTAATCATTTGCATTCCTAGAAATGTGGTTTGCTTTTCATAATCATTACCAACACCAATCACAGGTATTTTAAGAAGAGAGAAGATAGGTTTTAGTCAACATGCAGATAAATCATTCAGCATAAATGCTGAATGAGGACAGAATTTTCTTCAGAATATAGTAGGCCTAGTTGAAAGGAGAAACCAAAGGCATTATTATAGGTGAGTTAAGGAAAGGTAACATTGGCAGTTATCATATAATTCCGGCCTATGGTTTCTAAATTAAACTACTGTGATTTAGTTTAATTCCTCTGTATTTCAATGGGCAGGTAAGTTTTATTGGGGGATTCAGGGCCCTATCTGAGGATACAAATGAATTCAGGCAGATTCAGGGCCCTATCTGAGGATACAAATGAATTCAGCAGGTGAAATTAAGTAAAGCCCAACTGTTATTCCATTATCTTGATATTTCAGGCTGACTTACCTAAACAATTGACTCATTTTTTTCTTTCACTTTGCCAGGGAAGATAAAGCCTTACTTAATGAACCAGCACATTCTATCTGGCAATGCTTTGAATCATCACAGATTATGATTCAAATATGGGAGATTGAAATACATTTGAATTATCTTACGAAGTAATTTTATTTCAAGGGACCCATAGTTCTACTTCTCTAGAAGCTCTCATCCTTCTGAACTCTTCTGAACTTGAAGGCTCCTCACTTCTCTGGCTGACCTACATTCCTGGCTCATTTTTATCTCAAGTTCTCAACAGATCATTTTGCTAAGGAGATAGAATATACCAGATTGGTATTCTATTGCATTTCAGTTCTTTCTCGAGAATAGATGGATGAAGAGCATTTTATGTCAGTTAAATCATTCAAAACTGTCTTGTCTTGTTAACTTTCTGCAGTTTCCAGAGCAGAAGGCACAAAGTAGAAACTGAATTTAATTTCACTGTCCTAGATTCTGAAGGTTTTAGTTAGGAATCTTTGTTCTGCCAACCAGGAGAAAAGGGGAAATGAGAACTGACTATCTGTTAGGGCATTGCATTATCTCATATTGTTTTAATATGCCGAGCAATTTTGAATGGCATAGTCTATTTAAATTAGGGAAGAGTAGTGCAGGCATTATCTTTTGTCTAGGATAATGTTTGCTCAGAAGGTAACTCCTATGATCAATAGCAGTGGTCTCTTGTATCATTGCTATTGATTTTTCTCATTACAAAGAAGTAGAGAGAAGATTTGGAGGAGGAGAATCTTAAACTTTGAAAATGATAACTTTGCCTGTCATTTGGCTTTGGTTTTAATTTAGTGTTTGTATACGTGAAGATAAGCATGTGCAAAATAAGGACACCAAAGTTGACAGTAAGTGCTAACTTGGGTAATA